CCGATCGTTTGGCCTAATATTTTTTTTATAACACAACATCATCTAACAAGTAAAATGTTTCAGACTTAAAAGAAACAAAACACAGTTGATTTTGAAGGTAGAACACTCAGTCACAATACTAGAGGACTCTTTTATGAAGCAGGTAACAGCAAACCGAAATAACTGCTTGAGTAAGGGAAACAATTACCTTAAAAAGTCTTGTTAAACAACAGTAAGCAGAAAAACAGAAAAGCCGCTTTAATAAGTGGAAGAGAAATCTAGCACAACTGTCAAATAAAGAAATATTAGGAAATGTTTCACACCTTAGTAAGCCCTTAGAAAGCACATTTTTCAAAATGAGAATATAGAATTCTAGTTCATTCAGGAATCTCTGTATGGCATTTCTGCAGGCCAGCAACCAAACAAAAACTTATTTTTAAAAAAATCTTATTACAGTGATAAAAAAGTATTTCTCTTTGGGCCCTAGATCTATATCAAAATCCTCTGATACAAAACGTGACGATTAGAGTCATGTAGATTTATTGTTGAGCATAGAATCTTCCTTCTGATTTTTTAATTTTTTTAATTTTAGGAATTGACCTCAACACTTTAAAAATTTCATGAGATTGGCATATTTGTGTTGTTGTTTTTTTTAAGCCAAACACGTAAATCTTATTTGAGTCATGGACAATTGTGATAAATTTGTTTTTTATACAGACACTCATTATTTTTGTGTTTCCCATTAATGTCACCCATAACTAGATCTACATGTGTGTAGTCAATGTTAGTTCAACAGAGTCGAACAATTTTAGTAGTAACGGTGATGTAAAGTAAGGCAATAAATACTTATAATATGCAAACAGGCTATAGTTCGTTCACTTTCTTCTGACCGCGGTTAAAGCAAGATAAAATGAAATCGCTCTGCTCAGTCTTCTCAGATCTTTGTAAACGGGTCTAAAAGTTGAATGACCAACAGAATCTTTTAAAAAGCCCATTTTTAAAGGTCAAGGTTTCGACACGTTTTCTTTGATGTAAGCCTAAATGGGGTAAAAAATAATGCGGGATTCACAGTAGAAACCTAGTCCTAAAACATAAAAATTGAAATATTTCCTCAACACCAACTTTAATGTAGGCCCCCTAAGCCAAAGAAACACGATTCAAGAGACGATGTGAGTAATTTTCGAGACTCACATGGAGCAGGTGGAGACGTCAAGGCAGAAACGAGCAGTGCTGATGTGAAAAAAGTCGTACAAGCTTGTGAGCAATGTCAGTCTATCGATCCTGCACCAGTTGTCCATGAGGCGGGCAACCTAGATGTCGCTACAGACTGGACAAGATTGGCAATAGA